TGCAGGGGAGAAAAGCTACAGGACACAGACTCTCTGAAAAATCTTACTTTTTTAGAAATGCCTTTCCAGTCCTCATGTCTCTCTCTTTCTGCATCTCATCATCAGATATGAGAAGATAATGTAATAAAGACCACAGCAGCCATGCTTTGCTTTGCCAAGACATTTTGAAATGAAGCGCCATTACTTGGGGCAATCTTAGAATCCAGTAGAGTTGCTGCCTAAGGCCCAGTCTTCCAGGCCAAACTACACATCACACAGGAGATTCATGACTAGTTTTTGTAATGTTTTCTCTCTTTTTTTAATAGAATTACTTCACCTCAGTGGGCACACGTGACCTAGAGCAGAGTGTATCAACCCTTTTTTCCTGATGCTGTTTTCCCAGTCAAAATCTTCCCTTATACTTTGTCCACACTGGATGCCACCAGATAAGAAAAGAACAGCTTTGATTTGGAAATCAAGATAGGCAACAGAAAGAGTGATCATACAACTCCCCCAGTGCCACACATCTGATCAAAGAGGTGTCAGTTTATACCAATGTAAACTGATTGCAGAATGAAGAATTCAGTTTCCCATCACAGAATCTGAGTTGCACTCAGACAGACTTTTTTGAAAGTACAGAATATGCAAAGTCCTACATGCATGTACAGATTCTTGTGTATATGTGTATATACCACACGAAGACCCTGAGGGACAGCGTTTATGAGAAACGGAGAGTGAAGAGGGGATGTTTTTACACCCAGCCTGTTTTCAATCAGTCCGTCTACACTATTTGTGGCATGGGCGGTAAGGGTTTTGGAGGCCAGAAGTATGCAAAGCCAGTATGGCAGGCCATGTTTCAAAATCAGGTTACTGAGTGTGAGGCACAGGGCCAAGCGAGGGCAGGAGGGAATGGGGCAAGTAGCTTGCCAAATGGCCCAAGTTTGCTTCTTATCCAAAAGAGGATTGCTAAGGATTGAACAGTTCCAGTAGGGCCAGAGCTGCTAATCACTAACTTCTTTCCCTGAGGAGGAACTTCCAGCTCAGATTATAAGTCAGGCCTGCAGAAATGTCAGCTTTTAACCACCCCAGATGCTTCAGTTTAATGCCTTAAGGAGCTACACTTTCACTGACAAAACGTCAGTGGTGGCCCCTCATCTAGGGAGCTTCTCATCTCTTCAGAATGACCAAGCAGCAACTTCTAGCACAAACTGACAGAGTGTGTTGATATAACGGGAGGTGGTCATGTTGACATTTCAATGAAAGGACCGCAAAGTCTTGGTGTATAGAAACGTTGCTGGATCGATGTATGTTGTACAGCCACGGCAGTCTCTTCCTCCCTGGTCGCTTGGGCTGGGCAGGTGGAGCAAAAGGAGACACCAAGCAACCAGTCAAGGTGAAAAATAAGTAGGGGAAAGCCAGCAGCTTGGAGCAGCTTGGTTTGCCTTTATGAAAGAAATGAGCTGCTCCCACTGAAGGGCGAAGCCACACTATGGAGGGCTAGGTCAGGAGTGGGAAATATGTTGTCCTGGAGATACTATTGGACAACAATTATAATTATTATTCATTACATGTATATACCACCCATAGCCAAAGCCCTCTGGGCAGTTCACCCATCCAGATTTCTACCAGGCCCAACCCTGCTTAGCTTCCAAGGTCAGGCAGGATCAGGCGCTTCAGGCTAATATTATGCAACAAAGCCCTTGAATCCCACCAGCATAGGCACAGACGATAGTGAGGGATGAGACCTTCTGGAGGGCCTCATTTCCCATTCCAGGACTAGGTGAACTCTGATTGTTCCCTGGTGTCACCAGGCAACTGCTGAACCAGTGCAGCACTTCCTTCTGGCCACCTGCACTGGGGGTACCAAAGGACGAAGGACATCAGCTCCCTCTTCCCATCATTGGTTAAGGTGATAAATAGTGTTAGATATTTGTGAGACTGATGAAACTGAAGCTGTTGTACTTCAGGCACATCATGAGAAGGCAAGACTCACTGAAGAAGACATGCTCGGAAAATTTGAGGATGGAAGAGAAGAGCAGGATGCCCTATGAGGCAGATTGATTCTATCAAGGAAGCCACAGCTGTGAACTTACAGGAGCTGAGCAAGGCTGCCAAGCCAGGACAGTTAAGAGAGCATCCATCCATTCATGGGGTCTCCATGAGTTAGAGGGAACTTGATGGCATGTTATCCAACAGACAACAAATCCATGTAACAAGAAATGTGTGGATTATACAGTTCCCTGTTCAAAAGCGCAAACATCCTGCACTATGCAGAACATCTGTATTCAAGTAGCAATGGCATAAGAAGCAAGGGTCCAGCATGCCCTATGCTGCCCTTTCAGTCTCTTGGTAGAGCTGCCCCTCTGGGTGAAGACAAGAGGACATGCAATTGCTTGCGGGAAAAAGCACTGGGGAGAAGCTGCCGCGAGATGGACTGCAGGGCCTGCCTCTCGCGCTCTGCCTCGTTTTACCTCCTGGGGCCTTCCACGACTCCTGACCCCACCCACGGGCTTCAGCTGTTGCACCTGGTTTTATGCCTTGTTTTCTATCTCGCTTAGGCCTGTCCTCTTGCCTTGCAGTCTCACTCTAGCTGTGGCACCATCTTATTTCTCAGGCTCCAGTCCAGCACACATTCCTGATTCTGGCTTTGGACTTGTTCCTGGCTTGGTCTCCGATTCTGACAATGCGCTTTTCGGCTACACGCTGCTCCACAGCAACGTGCATCAGCAAAGTGCTGCACCAGGTTGCAAACAAAACGCACAAAAGTATCAATTCTGGTGAAAGATGTGGGAGACAATCTGCAGAGCTATTACCAGACATTTTTGCTCCAAACAAGAAGATTTATTTTTGCTCCAAACAAGAAGATTTATTTTATGAGCTGCACATAGATCATGTCCCGACCTCTGCCAAAACACATGCAGTCACTGCATCATAAGAACATGCTTTGTTCCAGAATGAGTAGCAAAGTGCATGGATTCCCTATAGCTGCTGACACAACTATGGAAGAATACACGAAGCTGTTGACATGAAAGCCACAGCCGTCAAGCGAAATGGAAAAAAGCAAGAGTGGCGCACGTGATGGGGATGTATCGCGAGGCTAATCCTCTGGCGTGCCGAAGACACGGTATGAGTAGCTGCGAACTGAAGGAGCTGGCTAGCTCTGTGCGCCATTGGCAGGCGACCGCATGGCCCCTCTCCCTTGCAAGCGCCTGTCCAGGATGAGCCACGAGCAATTGTCATGTGTGAGCTAAGAGCTGGGAACCAGGAACCCTGCCAGGCATCCAAGCCAACTGGTCAGACCAGGGAATACGCGAGGAGTCCAGAGCAGGGAATACACCATAAGTCAAGTAAAGTAGCAGCCAGGAACGACTAACATTCTCCAGGCAAAACTGCAGCCTACACAGAGCGCCGTGGCAGAACTTCCTGTTCAGGACAGCCAGAGGCTAGTCTGGATGGGCAGTCGTGCCAGTCCCTGAGGGCACTCTTCTGCCAGGGAACTTGCTACAGTCCGTAGCTCCGCTGGCCCACCTCACAGGGCGACCAAGCACAGATGCAGCCCCCTTCCAGTCCCGAACACATCAGGCAGGGACTGGGTTCAGAGAAGGGGCAGAAGGAAAGCAGCTCCTTTCCGCTCATCTGCCCGGCACTTTCCCTCAGAACATCCCCCGCACCCCAGCGTGTGGCTTTTGCCCCTGCCAGTATTTCAGGTCCTGCAGAGTTCCAGTGCCTGCTCCCTTTCTTGCTGCTGTGGCCTGTGCTACAGAAACATGGATGGCAAGATACCGTGGGGAAGGAGCTGCCCTCTTTCGCCAAGGTGCTTCTGTTCAGGTGCTCCAGGAGCTGCCCTCTTTCGCCAAGGTGCTCCAGGAGTGACAGCACCACCGTGCCAAGCCAAGCCACAGCGATTTGTGTATGTCTGCCGTGTCGATGCTTGTTATGTACCTATGGTTCTTCTTCATGTCAGGATTTCAAGGCACTGTACAAGCAAATGTCATCTTTCAGGAAATGAGGATATGGGAATGTAGTTGCCCCTGAGTTTTCTGCTTTTCACAAAAGGTGCTTTTCATATATGTCAATGCATAATTTAGCCCAAGTTATAAGAACATAAGAACTTAAGAAAACTCATGCTGGATCAGATCAGCTGCCCACAGGATCTCTCAAGACGAATGAGTGCAAGGCCTCCCCCTGCCCAGCTCCTCAGCAACTGGTGTATGCAGGCATGTGGCATCTGGTAAAGGAGGTAGCCCCTGGCCAGCAAGGCTAGTAGCCACCGACTGGCAGCTGTCACCATTTCCCCTGGCAGTGAGTCCCATAGTTTTACCATAGTCTGTGGGAAGAAGTTCCTTTTCCCTGTCCCAAACCATCCTCCAATCAGCAAGCGCCCTTCAGTCCGAATGGGCTCACGTAACCATGCCAGGCTGGCCCAGTCGGGTGGCAGAGAGCCACAGCCACCCCAGAGAGCTTGTGTGAAAGGATCGGGAGGCGGCACATGCTGGCCACCCCTCCTGGATCCGTCACCTCTCTCCTCTGCTGGAGGAAGGGGCTCGGTGTGCAGCAGGGGCTGTCCTGTGTCCTTGGAACTGGCCCCTTGCTTTTAAGTACATCAGAAGAGGTGCCCCGTCCGGCCACTGTCCAGCTAAGGCTCAAGGGCAGTTCAGCTGCCCGGTGTCCTTGAGAGGGAGCGGGCAGTTGGCTTGCTCTTTGCCAAGAAGTGAATGGTCCTGGACCGGTGGTAGAAGCACAAATTTAGCCCTTCATCAGAACCACTGACCCAGTAGGTGAAAGGTCACTGAAGCACAATGGGCTTTCTTTCCCATTCATTTAAGCAGAATAACAGTTTGCCTCCATGCTGCATTCATGCTTAAGAGTGGCACACACATTAGACATCAGCACTGGGCAAAAGCGAACACTAGGACCAGGCCAGTCTTTTTCTTGTCACAAAAGCGGAAGGATGCCTGCAACTTTACAGCTGCTGACTCGCGAAAGTGAGAGAAGAAAGGAAAATGATGGATCGCACTTACATTATTGCTGCAGGTTTTATAGCGAATATTCCTGCCTTCACAGTTCCTGGCGAGGGGAAAAATATGGTTTGAATGCAGTCAGTGAGCAGAAGTGATGCTGAAAGACTAGCCCTTCCCATAAATTATTCCCTCCAGGACAGAACATGCACCACTGTTTCTCATACTTAATGCTGTTTCGAAGATGGATAGGTTAACAGGGCCGCCTGATGAAGCAGTGAGAGCTCTTACTTTTAGTCCTACATCTGCACACCATCTCAAACTATGGAAACATTTTTATTTATTTTATTTATTTATTTAAAAATGTTGTATGCCGTCCATTACTGTCATCTCTGGACGGCTTACAACATTATTTCAGACTACAATAAAATAAGATAAATTAACTATTCCACACTGAGCATCATTTAAAATAAATTAAATTATGCGTTAAAATATTGGCCAAATAAAAAGGTTTTTGAAATGTTATGCACACAGGATTATAGGGTTTACCAGAATCTGTTTTGACAAGCGATTCACATGGTCAACAGTGGAGCTCTCTAAACCCTACAAACTCATTGGCAAGGTCCAGCTTAAGGAAAGCAGGGGTCAGCGGCTTTGCACGCAGCAACAAGAAGCCGGGAGGGAGGGCGGTTTGTGACTGGAAGGACAAGGTAGCCTATCCCCCCCTTCCTCTCCTTGGGTTCACCTCTAACTACCACCCTCATCTGCACAAGGGCAGCAGCTCAAGTCTCAGAGATGTGGGCTGCTGAAGACGTCCGTGCTGAAAGGCGTGGCCAAGTTTCCCTCGAAAATTCGCAAGAGCAACTGTAGGGCCAAACCATGCCATATTCTGCACCGTGTGTAATGCTAACCTGAGAGCATTTTCACCACTGCAGATCACACAGAAAGGACAATTCGCAGCAGCAAAGGGAAGGTGCTTAATCCCTTCGTGGTAGTGGCTTTCTCTCTGACTCGCTCCTGCTTTATCCAAGTCTCTTCTTTGCAAGGTGAATATAGTTCTGGGACACTGGCAGGCAGACAAGCAGCTGGGAGGGAGTAGTTTTAGGGTGAAAACAAGGAAAGGGTTAAGTAGCCCTGTTTCCCTTTCTGCTGCCAAGTCTCCATGTGTCTGCACACGTGGATATGTGGGCTTCTAGAGTGCATTTCAGCAGCCTTTCCCAGCTTGTCTGGCACCTTTCCTTCTGTTTTTCCTTCACTTAGGAAATCAGATTTTGTGTACAGGCATTAACACGCATTTGTGCAAATGTGCACTACTGAAAATGCACATTTACACTCCTAGTCCATGGAGCCCTTTTTATTTGCCATATTTTCCTATGGATAATTTTGCATAAAACTGTAGAATAAAAAAAAACCGTCTGTAAGACTGCAGAATCCTTTCAGTTGGAAAAACCAGTCTAATGTGGAATCTGTGGATCAGACTGATGCCCAAACTATTTTGAGCCCACTGTGTATTTCTCTGATGTCCCTGTTAGCAACTCAGAGATGGCGTTCTGCCTCAGATGGGGGAGGCAGTGGCTCCATTAGCTATTATGACATGGGGCTGCACTGGATAAGGCGTACTTTGGCCCTTTCAGTAGACGCAAAGGGCAGTATTTTGGAGAGTTCATGAGAGCAGGCTGCCAAGCCAGTAGTCCAGAGGTGCAGACTAGGCATCCCAGTATGGACCTCCAGGGATTCCCCAGATGGGCACCCCCTTTCCCTAGTCCCACTCCCTTTCCCCAGACCATTGACGGTCATGAGCTTTCCCAGAAATGATTCAACTTTCCCCGTCCTAAAAGGTCGAAACGCCTCTCCTAAGGCTTGCTTACTAGCAGTAAGAGCTTCAGGGTCTGCACATGTTAAAACTGAAGAAATGTCTCCAACTCCCTGCTGTGTCAGGCTGGCTGAGGGATGCTGGGGTTATAGGCCACTTTTACGTAACAACACCCAAAGGACTGCAGCCTTATGCGGAAATATGCTTCCATTTCAGCCACATCCCCTTTGCCTTTGGCCCAACCCGCTATTGGACTGCAGCCCTGAGAGCTTCTGCAGCATGGAATTCATCCCCTTGGGCCGAAAGAGGTCCTGCACCCCTGCAGTGGCCCTTCATTTGGTCTTCCAGCACATTATAAACTCTTGCTTACATCTATTGAAATGCCCCTTGACCGAAACAGATTTTAATGCAAGACCCCAGGCTTAAGTGATTTAGCTTGTAGGCACCGAGTAATCACCCACCCCAGTTCTGTATAATTTGTGGCTTTATTCGGTGCACTAGAAATGACCCACCTGCCATTCAAGCATCTCCGCAGAGAATAGGATGCTCCACCTCCACATGTTCGCGAGCAATCACTCCAGGCACCCCAGGCATCCCAGCCCCCTTCTTTATCTTCATCCGATGTGGTGATTCTTGAGGTCTGGAAACATGAAAGAAAGAAAAGTAACTCTGCAGTCCAGGAAAAGACATATTTCATTCAAATCCTTTTAACTGGTTATTTACCCTGGGAAGATTCCTAGTCTGGTGCTAATAAACAGGGGTGCTTGTTCCAAAGTAAATTATTATGTCATCAAGGGTACAAGGCAGAGAAGTGATATATTTACAGCTGGAAAAAAAAGTGGTTTCAGTACCTCTTTTTCTCTTGTTCTATAACTTCAGATTCATCTCCTTTGGGACTTCTAAATCCAATTATGAACATAAGACCCTGGAAAATGCTCTCTCCTCTGATCTATAACGTTCTCACTTGAAAGGGTTTGGTTTACTAAGAGCTGTTTATGATGCCGTTTGATGGTAGTGACTTCGTATGCCCCATAATGGTGGTGTCATGGAAACCAGTAATTTCCAAATAGTATGTCATGAAACCCATCCTAGGATACCATAAAAATTAAACGCAACAAAGACAGCTCCACGTTGTTCAAACCATGGTACATGGCCACGCAGAGCCGAGGCTGCCTGTTGTCCCTCTGTATGATTCATTGCCTCCACCTTCCTTCCTTCCCGTCAATTTCTTGACAGGAGACTCCCCTCTTTCTCTATTATGTGTGACTGATTCCCACTACAAGGCAAACAAAATTAATTGCCCCCACAGGAGGAGTCTCTGCAGAGCGATTGCTGTGACAAAGAGATGTGTTGTCAGTTAGAGATACTCAACTATTTTTCTAGATCCACATTTTTAAGCCAACTGACCCAATTTGCAATGCCTGGACTCATAGCTAAGTGATGTTATCTTTCAGTATTCTTACTGCTCCAAATTTTGTGATACCATTCTTGGCTTAACAATGTACCAAAATGCACACAGGCATGTGTTTTAGATTAAAATGTGCTTTTAAAACCTTATGTTAGGATAAATATGTATGTTAGGGTAAAATATATACAAAATTAAATGGTTAATTCAATTATGTAGGTTTTTTATGTGTGCAGGTTTCATTCACACGTTGATGCAGAAACAGCTCAGGACTGACTTATGAATAAGTACATGTGAAACTGAAATAGGCTAGCAAAAGGGCCGCTCCCCCCGTTCCTACTGACAACCCAATTTCGGAAAAGGGGAGGGGCACTGCCCAACCTCCATCTCATAGTTCTCAGAATATCTCCAATAGGACTAAGAAGCGCTTTAAGGAAGCAATGAATTTCACATAACATTACCATTTCTATTCAATAAATAGGAGTGCAGTGTGCAGAAGTTTAGTTAGAAAATAAGCGCCTTATTTTCACTCAGGTGGTAAATCTGGCTTAGACCCAGAGTCATACCAGCAGTGACAAACTGAACCCTGTGGGACTTACACTGCTATGAATCACCAAGCCCTACAGATTTCTGCAGATCTACTCAGAGTGGGCATCACAGGTAAACGGGCTGAGGGGCCACCCTGCAGCGGGGGCACCTTGACAAGAGCCCCGTGGACGTGCTCCTCTGCTTCACCATGGCAACTGCCTGTTCACCTGCCCCTCTCATGGCCCCGGCAGCGGCAGTGGGGAGAAGGGGCAGCAGCTGCTGGTGGGCCCCAAGCAGGGGAGTGGGGCCAGTGCCGAGGAGGAGGCCGAGAAGCAGGAGCAGCTGGCGGCAACGGCGGTGCAAAAGTGGACCCTCACAGAGCGAAGGGGTTCTCGCTTGGGGCCATTCAGAAATCGCCAGGCCGAGCTCCAGCAACCCACGAAAGGCGTGAGCGCTGCTGGCCTGTCTCATTCGAAGTCTGCGGTAGATTTCTCTTCGTAAGCAGTAATGGCTTTTCCATAGCAGGTCTGCAGCAGAGCCATGGCAAACTTTCTGGATACCTCAATTTTGCTTTCAGAAAATAAAGTATGTTGACAAAGAGATTTGATACTGACCTTAAGTGGTTTGGATTAAGTGGTACTGATGCTGTGAGATACAGCTGCACATAGGGAACACCTAAACATCTGTATTTTCTATAGGATTATGTTTCTGGCCCTTCCAGGATTATATAGGCAGCAGGAGCATAAGCCTGTCAGCTAAATGAGGTGCTTCCTGTCGCTGGCATCAGGTGCGAGGGGAACACCAGGCCTTCCACCCAGCATCCGTGTGCCCAGAAAGGCATCTCATGCCAAGGCACATCTGGAGGAACAAATACTTTATGCCATGGATACAGGATTGTGCTGATCAAAAGGAGAAACGGGGAAGTTAAAGATGTTCCTGGACATATGCAAATCCTTGCGTGTACTTAAAACAGCTTTGGTCTAGCCCATTGTGTTTTGTACGCTATGTTGTTTATTCCTTTGTAAGAAATGAATTTCCTGCCTTCCCCTCTCAAAAAAGAAGTGCCCAAAGCAGCTAACAAAAGAACCATAAACAAAATAAAACATTGCTAAAATACAGAAAGTGATCAACCATTACAATTGAACTTCCTAAAAAGAAAAGATGATTTAGGGTACAACAATTTAGAAACAACAGCTATGCAACTCCCAGCATGCTGGCTAGGTAGGAATGCTGGGAGTTGTAGGTTTTTTTCCTGTCTGAAGATGCACCAGATTGCACCCTAAATGATCTTCAAGAAACCACAGACCAGCGTCTCCCTCTTTCTTGCCAACTAGAGAGGAATACAGATGCCCATCTGCTCTGGAAGCAGACTGAAACAAACACACATATATCTTCTTGAATGTAAAAAGTGACATGTGCTTTCAGATTTAGGGGAGAGGTCAACTGTGCCCCAGGTATCCTGAGTTCAGGAAACATGGACTTAAACCAACAAAAGCCTTAAAAAAGCAAATTAGCAAGCAGTTCTCAAGCACGATCCCTAAACAAAATATTACTCTTCTGTGTTTAAGTGTAACTTGTTATTGATTTAATTCCTAACTGTGAACTTCCAGATTCTTCCCAATTCGAGTCATACCCACTTTGCTGATTTTTCTTGCCCTTATTTGAATTTGGTTTCACAGCATAGGCAAATATAATATGTAGATTTGATGAAAGCTGACAGCTAGTAAATCAAATATTGTTTTGCTAGTAAATTACCAGGCCAGCTCAAACTACTTTTAACTCTTTTCCCATGGGACAAATCATTTGGACTGGCTGGAGTTTAAGTCAACAGTGTGGGTCCTGGTTTAGTCAAATGATTATGAAGAAAGCCTTGGCGGCACAAATGACAACTTTGATCGTCCTCTAAGGCAAATCAGATTCTTTGCAACTAGATTTCATCCAGAACCATTGTTTTTATCTACTGAAAATTTACTAGCTGAAGAACAATTGTACATTGTTTTGGGGGCTCTAAATAACATTCTATCCTGCTATTCTCAGCATAACTTACACAGGAGTAAGACTTACTGAATTCCATGGGAGTTGCTTTAGAGTAAATGAATTTAGGATTGTGCTGCCAATCTACCGAGCTATTCAAAGGGGGAAGCAACCCTGAACACATGTCCAGATGCTTTGAATTACAATTTCCATCAGCCAACATGGCCAGTGGTTATGAACTGTAGGGACTATAGTCCAAAACTAGGGATAGCTGTATCTTTGAATCTTGATCTCATCCAGGTTGTCATTCTTCTAGCGCTAGTTCCTTCCATTCCAGTTCCACATTGGATCACAAGCATTTATTTTACTTCACAGAAATTCATACATATTCTTTTGTGAATTTTGGTGCGTATTTTCAACTGTCCACATTTTTGTACACATGCATCCATGTATTTGTGTGCATGTTTAGAATGAACACATTTTCCCAGGCATATTTTTCATATTTGTGCATGTTTATAAACCCACTTGGTTTTGCAAAACATACCACAAACTTGAAAATGTGCAGATACATGACTGCAAACCAAGTTCACAATTGCATTTGGTTCTGAGAGATGTGAACTGAGAGGTGAATTCACATTAAAATAGGAATTCAATGAATGTATCACTTTTCCTATCCAAACATTTTGAAGGGAACCAGGCTGTTTATTCCTGAGCTCAATGGTGGAACTGTACCTGCCTTCGACATAGCCCAAAAAAGCCATCTTGAGATTTTTTTGCATCCATGTTACTCACCCTTTAACGACAGGAGCATCAAACTGATGACTTGCATGTATGAATGAATCCCACGTCAAATACTGCAGAGTCCACACATTCAGTGGCAACTCCTGTCCAATGAAGGGATCGCATGATATACATCCATACGGTGCACAGATTAGTGTGCTAGTCTGGGACTTGAGAGGTCTGAGCTCAGCCGTGAAGCTCAGTGGGCAGCTCTGGGCCATTCACTGACTCTCAGTCTCTCAAGAGAGACTCTTTATCTCTCTTGTTGTGAGATAAAACGGAGGGGGGGGGAGGGGCACAACCTGCTTTGGGTTCTTTGCCAGACAAGAAGGTGAGAAATAAGTACAATAAATTCATTACTATGGCAACTGGTTGTAAAAGGCAAGTTGGCTCAGCTTCTTGTGTTTTACTGTCACTGTATCACTTCTGCCACGTTACCAGCCATGGAAGCCCGTGATGCTGGGCTACCATGGAAGAGCTGGAGATGCCTTGCATCAGCATGACTCCTTGAGTCCTGCCAGCAGCAAGCCAGCCACCTGCAGCAACTTCCCCCACCCGAAAAAAGCAAGCAAAACAAAACCCTGGGGCTTCAGGAGACCCTCCTGAACAACCTGGGATAGGTCTCACAGCGGTGTGGCAGGCAATTTTCCTCCCCTGAATTTCCTTTAGTAAATGCATCCTAGCTTATCTTGAGCTGGGGACTCTAACACAGCAAGGCCTTTTGTGTGCCCCTGTGGAGCTTTGCCAGCGGCTGCAGCCAGCTCTGGCTGTGCTACAGGGTGCACAATGCACAGGGCCGTGGGGTGGGGGGTGGCAGCTGCCTGTTGCAAGGGGCTACCAATTCTATGGTGGAATTCCTGTGGGCGGTTCTGTTCACCACAATGATTTATTATTCTTCGCATCATCGTGTTGCATTAATAGAAGACATAGACAGGTCTCGTTCCAAGGAGTCT